TAAATAAATAAATAAATAAATACAAAATTCTTTTGACGTTACTGAGTTGGAGGTTCCTTGTCACATAAGACTCCAGGACAATCAACAGTGTGATGCTTTTCATTATAGGCCTTGTTTTGTGCATGGCTCAAGTAGCACCACTACTCCAGGAGAAGTGGCTTTAGGTTTGTAATCTTTGCTCCAAATTGTGACCATCTTACATTACTGGATATGTCTGCACTGCTGTTCCTGAATGTGAATGGCAGTGTGCCCATCTCTAAGGGAACTCTGCTGCGTGGATTTGGCAGGTCAAGAGATGGATGATGTTATATACAGTATCTCTCATTGGCATGGTCAGAACAAAAGTGCTTACTGGACATTTCTCTGAATCTATGGGGAAAATATTGTTAATAGGGAATTCTTCTCAGTGCTGATCTCAGAAGTGGTTCAAAATATTCAGGTGACTGGGACAGAAATTATAAAAAGGTGCTCCTTGTGCTTAAAGGTTAAAAAGAAAGTCAGTTTGCTACATTTCTATAATTAAATCTGAACCCTAGGCATTGAATATGTAGCAATGGAAATGAAGGAATAAATATATTTCTTGTCAATGTTTATTGCAGCAATCCCAGCACAGATTGCAAGGAGCATTGGAAAACTATATTTGTTATCACTGCAAAACCCAAGCTACCTGATCTGCACAGGCTGCCACTCCAAGAGGTGGCTGGAACGACATCCACAAGAAGCCAGGCTTTCTCAGCTGTGGCCCCATCCCTACAGAATGGGCTCCTGGTGTTCCTGTCCCCCTCCTACCCTGACTTTAAGAAGATGTTAAAAACCTTACTGTTTGAAGAAGCCTTCAGGGGATCACTGGTTAATTTTTTTTTAAAAAAAAGATTTTGTATTCTCAAAGGCTTTCACAGCCTTTCACGGATCCGATGGTTGTTGTAGGTTTTTCGGGCTCTTTGGCCATGTTTTGAGGGTTTTTCTTTCGAACGTTTTGCCAGTCTCCAGAGCACAGGCAGAGTTCCGACTCCAGTCCTCTGAAGATGCCCATGGCCACAGAGACTGGTGAAACGTTAGGAAGAACAACCTTCAGAACACGGCCAAAGAGCCTGAAAAACCCCCAACAACAACAAAAATATTTTGCCACCATCTTGTTATTGCTCAGGTCTACTTTGCCTTACATATAATTGTATCGTTTTTTTCTTGATTATTTGTTTTTATTTGATAATTTGATATTTCTGTTCATCATATTACATTTTCATTGATTGTTTATTTCAATGTAACTACCCAGAGTAGAGCCTAGCATGGTAATTGGGTGGTATACAAGTTCTTTGAAATGAATAAATGAATGTATTCTTCATGACTCTTGCGACAACCTGATAGATCACCGTAGTTTTACCTTCTTCCCATTTCACAGGTGGTTAGCTGATAGTTCAGAATAGCAACATGGCAAGACTATGTACAAAACACTATTCATGTTTATCCAAGGTTTGTATAGTTGGCTGCATCTAAATGGTCCTGGGGCATGCCTTGTTCATGAGCTTGATCACCTAGCTGAGATACATCCCACCACTTCATAAATGAGCCAGACCTTATGCAAGCATCTATAGGGTGCTGGCTGTTTAGTATTTATTCAGCGGGGCTGTGGTTTGAATTGAAGTATTTTGGTGGTGGGGGGCTGACTCTGTGTTTCTAAAATCTCATTACCCATTCTTGCCAAATGACAGCTTGGCCCTCAAACGCAAAGATTAACATGATAATCTTATCATGACTCCCCAAATGGAACTCTAACAGTATTTTGCAAGAAGAATTGCTACCGGTGAAACAATCCCTTCTCAGAGATCCATATTCAGCTTGAAATACTGCCCATCTTACCACCTGGGCTCCAGAGACGGTGCCAGATAGATCAGGAACTTGCGTCCTAGTATGAATTCTGTGATGGTTTATAAAATAAAAAAATCTGGCAGAAAGATCAGTTATTTCACTAACAACCCTGGACTGAACCACACTTGAACTCTGATCTTGCAAACGATTTATTTTCAAGGTACTCAGGTTTAAATCTATCCGGAAGGAAAGAACAAGGAACTGGGCCTTCTCGGCAGTGGCCCCTCGCCTTTGGAACAACTTGCCAGTGGAAATCCGCCTGGCTCCCCCTCTGGGTGTTTTCAGGAGCAAACTTAAAACCTGTCTATTTGGGCAGGCTTTCCCTCCTGCCATATCTTAATTTATTATACTTTAGCCATCTTGGATCTATAATATATGTTTTTGGTTTCATTGTTTTTAAATTTGTAAACCGCCCAGAGTAGACCTTTGGTCTAGATGGGCAGAATAGAAATCCAATAAATAAATAAACAAATAAATAAATCACAGGAAGAACAATTTCCAGTTTTCAGTTAAATCATCCTCCTTCCTCTGCCTTGCATTCTTCTGCTTTGAAGTGAGTTGTCCCAGCAAAAAACACAACCAAAAACAACAACAAAACAAAACAAAACAACCAAAAAAAACCCCTCCAAACCCCACCAGGTCAGCTATCAATGCTGGCGGTAGCCTTTAGCTCTAGAAGTCACTCCGTATTTGCTTCTTGTGTTTTCAATATTTTTGCATTCGTATTTCCAGAAACTGACATTTTTCTTGTTCTTGAGGGCCAGCACAATTTCTCCCTTATATACCTTGTAATCTCACTGTGGGGCTACACCCAAGGTCAGTGGTACCGATACACTCCGGCGTTGCAAAAGCTTTTCCGCCTCTTTCCATTTTTGTTTGCAAGGCCAAGTCTGGTCCAACGAAAGGAAATCCAGGCCGGCTTTTCTATTGCCCTTGCAGCGTGCTATCGCTCCTTCGCCTCTAAGGTGTGAGTACGCGCAGATGCTGACTGGATCCAGACCGGGTTTTGTCTCCTCCCCAGCTCCGAGCCGAAGCCTCCCGGGCTCTTCGCCTGTAGTCGGGTGTTCAAATCTCCGCGAGGGAAGGACGATCTAACTGAGGGGTTGCACGAGGAGATAGCGGGATGGAGTCGCAGCCACCCTAGCAGGGGCCACAAGCAGCCATCATGGTGAGTCGCTCGCTGGACGGCAGTCTACAGTATTTTGGAAAGCCGTAGGGAGCCCCAGTCTGACTGGGATTTGTCCAGTTGACTGGTGGCTCTTTGTTCTCACCCCTTTTCGGACACCGGCCTTTGGCTTGCTCTTTCCCGCAGATCCTTAAACCGAATCGGTCGGGTTCTTATTTAAATGTACACGTGGTTTGTGATCTGTTTCGGTCGGCAGCCGTGAGCCTTCCCCGGGCATGGTTAGACCCCACGATGGTCTCAGCCAGGCAAGATTAGCTCCGTCGGCGGCGATGGCGATCACCACCACCATATGGGGCAAGGCGACACAGCGATGGTTCAGTTAGAGAGAATGAATTGGGAGAGGAGGGGGCGCGGGGAGTTGGGCAGCCCCGTCGGATCTGTGCGCCTTGTTCCGGGGGTGTAGAGCGAGAGGCGCGCGATTGTTTAGGGGTCTCTGCGGGGCGCCGAGAGGAGAGCTGGGCGGCGTTATTTCACCTCGGCAGGGGTGCCTGAAGACCACCCAGTGACGAGGGGTGGGCGACGACGGCTTTGCCTCCCTTCATTTGTGAGAGAGCGCCTGTATGGAAATGATCTGGCAAACCTCTGCCCACTAAAATATGTTGCTTTTCTGTAAAGTGGTTAATGTGATGGAGCGGAGCGTCCTGTGAAGTTGCCTCTGTACAAAAATTGCCTCCTGGGTAACTTTACATTGTGACATCCATTCATATATATATATACAGTATATTTAACCTAGTCGCCTATATATATATATATATATATACAATATATTTAACCTAGTCGCAGATCTGGATAAACCGGAACACGTTATACGTGTGTGTTGGTTGCTATTTCATTTTAAAAGGACATTACTAGGGCTCGACAGGTGGAATATCCTATGAGCAGGAAAGCGAAGCGGATGGCACCCATTCTTTCTTAACCATCAAACATATGGTAGATCTGGGTCTGTTACACTCCAGGGATTAAACTGCTGCTTTCTTACTGTACACCATGAAAAAAGCACTGCAATGCTCCCCTGGCCAGAAAAGTTAAATCTGGGAAGCTGTTGAGTAGGAAGTGCTTTGGTTTTTAGTAACGAGTGGCACAAGCTGCCCTTCATTGAGTATTGGATAATACTGTCCATTAACATTCCTTAAGAACGACTGTGATCTCGAAACCAAGGGGGCTCACAACAAGCAGCAAAGGAGAACACTTTTCTACTCTCTTTTGATGCATGTGTGAACCATGTACTGTATTGCAGTCCAATAGCCTGGCTGAGACCCTATCTCGACATGGGGGCGCTCACTGCCTTGGTGCATGCGCTTGTAATCTCAAGATTAGACCACTGTAACGCGCACTATGTGGGGCTACCTTTAAAGCTGATGCGGAAACTTCAGGTGGTGCCGAATGCGGCGGCCAGACTCCTTACTGGAGTGGGAAAACACCAACATATCTCTCCTACTCTGGCCATACTGCACTGACTTCAAAGTGTTAATGCTTACATATAAAGCCCTAAATGGTTTAGGACCCCGATACTTGGCGGAACGCCTGCTCCCACTTAGATCTACTTGGATAACCCGCACGAGCCAGGAGGTGAGGCTGAGGAGCCTAACCCCGAGGGAGGCCCGGAAGGAAAGGACACGAAACCGGGCCTTCTCGGCGGTGGCTCCTCGCCTCTGGAACAACCTTCCTCCGGTGATTCGTGCGGCCCCTACGCTGGGCACTTTTAAGAGTCAACTAAAAACATGGTTGTATGTTCAGGCCTTCCCTCCTGTCAATATTTAACTCTTTCTTTATTTTTTCTTTCATTTATTCTTTGTTTTATTATTGTATGTGTTATGGACTGTTTGTAAAATCTTTATGTTTTATCGTATACACCTTATTGGAAGCCGCTCAGAGTGGTTGACCAGACCAGATGGGCGGGATATAAATCAAATAAATAAATAAATAAATAAACGAACTGTGAGAATGGATCCACAGCATAGCAGTCATTTTTTTGGAATTCAGCCATATGCTTTTGAGGACGTGTCCTCTGTTGTGCCTCCACTCGTCCTTTTCTTCTTCTTCTCTCTTTGGTCTGAGGCTTTCATGATAAGAAAGGAACCATGAAAACCATCATTAAGTTCCATTCAATTTTCCTGCTTAGCACAAGGCAGAAAATTCCAATCTGAAGGTCCTGCTGTGAGATCGCTGAATGCCAGTTGCATGTCAGGATTGTTAGCTAAGATGAATTGAATGAAGCCAGCACATGACGGGGCTCCTTTCTGTAGAAATCTAACCCTGTTATTGGAAGAGACCACCCTGGTGCAATGTGAAATGTTGCAAGTATACATTCTGCATCACCCCTCCTTTTGCAAAAGGGCACCGTAGAGTTGAACACAAGCAGTATACGTACAAAATAAGCCAGTGGACTGAGTTTAGTGTTTGATCACTTTAAGTACCTTCAACATTTTGTAACGATGTACCTTAATGATTAGGCAGTTAGGAACTCCCATCAGAGATAGGTGCCTTAGCACTGTCCAGATTAAACTAACATCTAGGGACAGCTCTTGATGATTGTAAGACCTGGGGGTGGGATTGGCCTGAGTGCCATCAACTGAAGACACATCTTTCCAGATCTCCCCAGCAGCCGCACTCGCTAGAGAGAGGGAATAGATGAAATTCTGTAGGCTTTCCTAGAGAATATCCAGAATAAAATAAGGATTACTGTCCTGGGTAAACTAACATCTAGGGACAGCTCTTGATGATTGTAAGACCTGGGGGTGGGATTGGCCTGAGTGCCATCAACTGAAGACACATCTTTCCAGATCTCCCCAGCAGCCGCACTCGGTAGAGAGAGGGAATAGATGGAATTCTGTAGGCTTTTCTAGAGATTATCCAGAATAGAATAAGGATTACAGTACTGTCCTGGGTTTTCAGAAGGTGTTTGATGCGGTCCCTCACTAACTGCTGAGAAAACTCCACAGTCAGGGGATAAGAGGGCAGGTCCTCTTATGGATTGAGAATTGGTTGAGAAACAGGAAACAGAGAGTGGGCATCAATGATCAGTTTTCACAATGGAGAGAGGTGAAGAGCAGTCTGCCCCACGGATCTGTCCTGGGACTGGTGCTTTTCAGCCTGGTCATAAATGACTTGGAGACAGGGATAAGCAGTGAGGTGGACAAGTTTGTAGATGACATGAACCTCTTCAGGGTGGTGAAGACCAGAAGGGATTGTGAAGAGCTCCAGAAGGATCTCTCCAAACTGGGAGAATGGGCGACAAAATGGCAAATGTGTTTCAGTATAAGAAAATGTAAAGTAGTGCACATTGGGGCAAAAAAAAAAAAATCAAAACTTTATCAGCTGATGTATTCTGAGCTGTTCGTGATGGATCAGGAAAGAGATCTAGGTGTGCTGGTGGACAGCTCAAGGAACGCGTCAACCCAGTGTGCGGCAACAGTGAAGAAGGCCAATTCCATGCTAGGTATCATTTAAAGGGGGATTGAAATAAAACAGGAAACATAATAATGCCATTGTAAAAAAAAACAATGGTAAGGCTGCACCTGGAGTATTGTGTACAGTTCTGGTCACCGCACCTCAATAAAGACACAGTGGAACTGGAAAAGGTGCAGAAGAGAGCAACTAAAATGATGACTGGGCTGGGGCACCTCCCTTATGAGGAAAGGCTACAGCGTTTGGGGCTCTTTAGTCTAGAGAAAAGGCACCTGGGGGGGAACATGATTGAGACATATAAAATTATGCAGGGGATGGATCAGGTGGATAGTGAAAAGCTCTTTTCCCTCTCACGCAAAACCAGAACCAGGGACATCCACTCAGTTTAAGTGTTGGGACAGTAAGAACAAACAAAAGAAAATATCTCTTTACCCAGCATGTTGTTAGTCTGTGGAATTCCTTGCCACAGGAAGTGGTGATGGCATGTGGCCTAGATGCCTTTAAAAGGGAATTGGACAGATTCCTGGAGGAAAAGTCCATCGCAGGTTACAAGCCATGACGGGGATTGTATAATCTCCAGGCTTCAAAGGAAGATATCTCAAAATGCCAAATGCAGGGAAGGCGTATCAGGAGAGAGGTCTCTTGTTGTCTCGTGTGCTCCCAGAGGCATCTGGTGGGGCCCCCATGAGATACAGGAAGCTGGACTAGATGGGCCCTTGGCCTGATCCAGCTGGCCTCTTCTTATGTTCTTATGTCTCTGACAGAGGTAAAAACAGTCATAACTGCTCCATCAAATCCACAGCCACAACCTCATTCCCTCAGTTTCAGCACTATCGAGCCATGACAGAGAATAGAAAGGCACGACCATTCATATTTCAGTAGCCTGTTCCTCTACTTCCAGATCAATCTGCACAATGCAAAAGAGTCTGTTGGAAACAGAGAGTGGGTACATGGCAAAGATAGCTTAAGATGACTCATAACACAAGCCAAGCTAGACACTGCAGGGGAATACAAAGGCCCCCAGGCTCATTGATCACTGAGGGAAATTCCCAACCCTGTCAAATCCTGAAAGAACCCAAGAAGATCAACATTGCACAAGTTCTTTTGTTGATTTCCAGGTACATGTGACCAACCAGTGCTGCGAGCAAACTATAATCCAATTCAAAAGCAAGATTGGCTCTAATCCAGAAGGGCATGTATACGTTTTAATTACTACAAATCGTACATCCTTAGCATGAGTCATATCAAGGTATCTCCTTGGTTTACCACCAGGTCTTATTGGTGTATAGAGGCAGTCCCAGAATGTTTGTCAAACCTGAAGAATAGGAGTAAGATTTATGAGATCATCTATCTTGGCAAAGGAATCCAAGCTACATTTGTGGGATTGTAAACTTAATTAAAAGCTTCATGATGCTTGGGTTTGTATCTACCACTCAGAGACAAAAAGGTAGTTAACTCATCCATTTTGTTCTGTACTTACCTTCTAACTTTTAATAGCCTAATGAGTTAGTTTTACAGCAATAGGTGAATTATTTATCGGCATGAGCCTGGATGACATTTTCTCCTCTGCAGGA